TTCATTGCAATTTGATATTTGAATGTACTTAAAAAAAAAGTTATGTTGGAAATGGTTGTTAAGTACATTTGGCATATATTTCTCCAAATATTTTAATAAAATGGGCAGCATAATTTCCTAGTCCTCCCATATTTTATGTCGGTGATCCACATTTCACATAGCCGTGGATTGGAAATGTGTTATTACTTTTTCTTATTGCTCTCATCACAAACATTTGAGTCTGGTATCTATCTCCCCTGACACAACTCCCCCCCCCAAATTGGCAAAGTGGTGTAGTTTTCATAATGCTGCAGTACTAGAAATGTACAGGAATATAATTTTTGATATTATATATGCAACAATGTGATATTAAAGTTTGCTCAAAGCTACAAGGCTTCTTATCCATTGAAGTATCACTAAAGAGCAATATGGGTTGACCTAGAACAAACCACACTGGATATTTTGATATGAGCCTGTGTTGGCATGTCATAGTTTCAAAATTATGTAGTTACTAGTGATGCGTTATTATGGGGGAAAGAAGTAGAAATAGCTGGCATGCCAGAAAGTAAAGCAGTCTATATAAATTCTGTACCATAAGGCATTCTTCAGTTGAATAAAATGTGTTCCTTATGCTGTTCTGATAGCACGGATCATTGGTGATTTGTAACTTATAATGTCATAAATTTTCTTTATTTAAAAGTTTTTTTTTGTCATTTATTTACAATGTTCTGAACTTGACCCATTCATCTGCCTTCTTTTTAAATGACTTCAGAAAAACACACATCTTGAAAGCTTTTAATAAAATCAAGCAAAGTTAGTGTTTCCTTATTGCATCCCATTAGCAGCTAACATTTTTATTGGCTTACACAGCCAGTCCTCCATATCCATGGATTCTACAGCCACAGATTCCAGCATCTGTGGCTTGAAAATATTTTTTTCAATCCAAAAGACAAACCTTGATGTTGCCATTCTGTATAAGGAACGTAATTTTACTATGCTATTGTACATAATGATAGTAGAATATCCACAGATTTTGGTATCCAGTGGATGCTGAGAACTAACTATGTGTCATCCTATAAATTTTATGTTGTGCAGGGCATAGCTATAGGAAAAACAGCATACAATAAACAGACTTTATTGCATCTTTCCTGATTAATATTTCAAATGTTTGACCACAATTCTGTGCATTTTTGGTTTTCATAACAAGTTAGGCATATATATTTTTTTTTTTATGTACCAACGTTTTACTTTATGTTATTGAATAAATAACACATGATGGAAAGAAACCTGAGCCTTATTAATAAAATATAGATAGTTTTAAAGCTGCCATGCTGATTTCTCCATCAGCTTGAGCAAACATTAGTTCTAACTAAAACAGGCTCATTGAAATAAATGGAATTCAGGTTGCTTGTGACTAAAAGGTGATATTCGTTTTGGTGGGTTTTCTTAGATATGATTAACATTTGTTTTAGTCCAGGATATGCTCAGTTCAGAAATTATAAAATGAATCTATGCTTTATAAAATACAATAAAGTCCTTTGATTGTGTAGATCAGGAAAAAATATGGTTTACTGATTGTCCTGATGTATTACCTATATTCTGGAGAAGGGGCCCTTGTCGGGACAATATGGAGAAGCAGAATGCTAACCCATTGGTTAGGGATCAGACATATTTTCATATCATCATCCCATCTGTTAAATTTGTATAAAGATTGTATCATAGAGAAAGAAGGATTCAAGGAAGCAGCAGTGACAATTGTGGGGAGGAGCATAAAGAGTTTGATATATACTGGTAACCCCCCTATTAATTGCAGAAAATAGCAAATACTTGGAACAATTACTGTTGAAAGTAAAGTGCAAAATATGGACTACAGTTGAATATTAAGAAGACAAAAATAATGACTTCAAAAGATTTATATAATTTTAAGGTAGGTAATGAAGATATTAAAATGATGACATATTTCCTCTACCTTGGCGGAGTTGTCAATCAAAATGGAGACTGTGGTCAAGAAATCAGAAGGTTAAGACTTAGAAGGGTGGCCATGAAGGAACTATATGCCTATAATAAAGTTTCAACACAGGATAGTAATCTGTAACACCTTAACCAGCTATTCTTAATAGTAATGTGTATTATCTGTCAGTCTTAACCTACTATGATATTGTGTTATAATATGCACTAAGATGTAGATAGTTTTCCCCTTCACTTCACACTATGATATAAATGTTGTTTTTTGTTATTTTTATTCTATTTTTGCAGTTTGAAATTTGCAGATCTGTTTATTAGTACTGTGTGATCAATGAAAAAAAGTTTCAACACTCATTCCTAAATTTGGGGTGGTGGCGGGGAATCATTTCTAAAGTGTTTCTAAAATATCATAAGGGGTCCGTAACATAACTGTAACAATTTAACAATTTCTTGTTCCTTTTTCGTTAAGTAATTGTGCCAGCGGTAAAACACTGGGGACTCCTTTTTCCCTCATTGTTAGAGCTATTGAGATAAAACTTGTAGAACAAATTTACCACTGTGCCCCCCCCCCCCCCCGCCCCAAGTTTCAGAAAATTTGGACATCTACTAGTTTGGGGTGAAATTTTAAAGTTTTGGCAAAAATTGTTTTTTTAAGTCACAACAGCTATCTCCTTGAATGTCTCTATATGACACACAACACATACCATAAAACTTCAAGTTAGGGTCAAAGTTAATGTAGAGTTTAATAATCCTTTTGTCAGACATACCTTACTGAGAATATGGAATAGATATAAATCTAAGTTGTGCCCCAAAATAACTTTGTGTTCTGGAAATCTGTCAGTGAGAAAATAAGATATATATAATATATAAACCAGTAACAGAGGGATGCAGTTTTCAGTGGTATTCTAACATATAATTATTGGGAAGTTTTAAAAATGGATGGAAACAGCTGTGGTTCTGAAGAAAATAATTAATTTTAAATGCAACTTTGTACAGGTGATGAACATGTAATTGCCAAAATGCATTAATGTTTGTAGAAATTTGAAATAGAAGTTAAAGATTGTATGATAAAAATGGGGTAACATCTTTTGTTATAACATACAACTAATTGGAAAATATGTGGTCAAAGGGATTGAAATGTACATTGTGTTACATGATTTGCCATTGGTATATGACCCCAAAGAATTTACCTAAAATATATAAACATATATCCAATATTTGTATGAAATGTGAACATTATGAAGGGACATTTTATCATTTGTACTGGACATGTGAAAAGCCAAAAAAAAAAAAAAGAAAAAGAAAAAAAAGGATTCAGATACATATATTAATGCAGATGATTTCGATAATGTAATTATTCAATTAAAACTGGAACATGTACAATTAGAAAAGAATAGAATAGTGTAATACTGTTCTATGCACAAAGATGGAAAAATTCACACCATAGAGGAATGCTTGTTGAAACTGAGAGATTTAATAAAAAATGTCTAGTTTGGTTAAAGAAAGGCCATTAGGGACATTTCTCAAGGAGTGAAAACCCCCCTTATAGACCTTTTGTGGAAAAAAAGCAAATAATATTGTAACTTTTATTTTTGCTTATTAGAAAGGATAGGTCATTGAAAGAATTTACTTACAGGAGCGTCATACAGGGAGCATACCACCCCCCTGTTATGTCAGCTCCACTGGCTGCTGATCCAATTCCGAGCACAATTCAAAGTGCTGGTTTTGACCTACATAACCCTATACGGTTCCGGCCCAGTGTATCTGTCCGAACGGATCTCCCTCTACGTCCCACCTCGGAGTCTAAGATTTTCTGGGGAGGCCCTGCTCTCGACTCCGCCTCTATCACAAGTGAGATTGGCGGGGACGAGGAGCAGGGCCTTTTCGGTGGTGGCCCCTCACCTGTAGAATTCACTCCCCAGGAAAATTAGATCAGCAACATCCCTCCTTGCCTTTAGGAAAAAATTGAAAACATGGATTTGGGACCAGGCATTCGGACAATCTGGCAGATAAAGAAAGGACTTTGACGATGGACACAAATTGACTAAGTGGAATGGAATTATGGAACTCTGAAAGATGAACGCTGAGCATGAGATTCGTTTTTATTGATTGTGTTATATACCGACTATTTTAACTGTGATAATTGTTTTAACTGCTGCTTTGTACGTATGTGTATTTTGTGTAGGCATCGAATTGTGCCTTTTTTGTAAACCGCCCTGAGTCCCCCCTCGGGGGTTGAGAAGGGCGGGGTAGAAGTACTTGAAATAAATAAATAATTAAGAAGTGAATATGTTTTGAAGAGAGGTATTAATAGCTATATAAATATATAACAGATGTTGTAATCTGGTAATAGTCTTTGTTCAATGTTTTGAAAATAAAATATATCATATGATTAACACATATGTATTTATGCCAAGCAATTTAAACCACTTCTAGAGTGCATTACATATGATAATAACTTTATAATAACTTTATTTTTGTACCCCGCCTCCATCTCCCTGAAGGGACTCAGGGCAGCTTACGCATGGCACAAAGTGCATAAAATAATACATAAAATAAAATAAACACACAATACAATACAGTACAGTACAATACAAGATAAACAAGTAGTATATAAAACAACAATTTGACTCAAAATGGCACCCAATAACCTATAGTGTCGACTGTTATAAAAACATGATCAACTATAAACAAGAAGAATGGAAAAGAATAGTGCAAGCTGTAGCTAAGGAACAAGGGCATGGGATGAAAGTGCTGTGCTGTCTCATAATTGCGGACCATTGGGCTAGACATATGATGATTAAAACCAGGAATTTCTTTGTATAGGCTAGTGATCTAAAATATAAAAAAAAATCGTGTAGAAGGGATGAAGTGGGGAGGGAAGCAAAACTAAACTATTACTAACTGTAGTAAGGCTGTTCTCTGTGCTGACTCTGTCGCTATTGGATCTACTAAAACTGAGTGACTGAGAGCATTTGGACATCAGGAAACAGATCTTTGGATATCTGCGGGCTAGATCCTGTTTTGTGAATTATATGGCATTCTTTCCTTCACAGACTCCAATGAATCAAGCTTCTACACGTTCACATTGCATTTTCACCATTCATATCTCAAGCAAAGAACCAGGTTCTGCCACTATTCGACGCTCCAAATTGCATTTAGTGGACTTAGCTGGTTCTGAGCGTGTTGGGAAGACTGGAGTTGGAGGCCAGTTACTGACAGAGGCCAAGTATATCAATCTGTCATTACATTACTTGGAACAGGTAAAGTTGACCCAATTCTTTATTTTAATAGTAACTTGGAGAAGTAATTTGCTTTTAGAAAACTCGTGTTCCCCTGCGCTTGGCATCAGGGATACTGAATTTTGATTAAGAGAAGGAATGTGATGTGCCTCATTGTGGTTTCTTTGAAGCAACAATATGATGGATGTAATTTCCCTTATGCCATTTTATGACAGTGTACCTTTTAAAAGAACTTCCTATTTAGAGATAATTTTAAAAGCAGCTGTTGAAATATTGTAATCTTGTTCCATGACCAAAAGAGAGCAGATGTATTTTATGAAACATCTTAAGCCCCAAGAATTTGATTGGAGCTATTCCATGTTCCATTGTAATACAGTGGCCTCATACCAAGCCCATGATAACATATGGGATAGACGTTAATTAACAGATTACTACTGCTGGTTTAATAGGATGTTAGATATTTTCTCCAAACCTTCAGAACAGACTAAATGAGTCCACTCTGCTTCTTTTGAAATCCTAAAGTTTATGCTATTTGCCATTTTTTTTGTATTAAATGGCACAGAAATTTCAGCTATGTATATCAGAGACATTTTACAGGCAACATGGAGATAGGTCCACTTGAACATTTAACATGTTTTATACATTTACTTTCCCATTATGTTATTTCATTTTTGTCCTAGAAAAATCAATTCTCTAGCTTGAAAAGTAGCAGAGTTGTCTTAATAAACCATTGAATAAATTATTACTACTTATATTTGTTGCTGCTGTTTTAATAGAGCTTGAAAACATTCATCATTTTCCATGTGTGCTTTTAAAAAGAAAGAAAAGAAAACAGCACACCTGCCAAAGGACAGTTTTTTCCTTTAAGTTTCAATGTGGTGTATTGTCTTCATAGTCCAGTAAACATAAAGAATAATGGTAGGCTTTTGTTGATTTTGGAATGCTTATGAACACAGTGATTTTCTGAAAGGCATCTTTAAAGCATTTATAAGCCACAATAACTGGGTCTGTTTTAGCCCGCAAGGTATACATTATAGGATGAAAACAGAAAAGAGGAAGGAGAAATTTACAAAGTGCTTTGTTAAACAATTATTAGTCACACGCTCCCCAATATGAGATTGTAAAGGGCTATATTTAGATTCATTGTAAGTGAGAAAACTTTGCAAATAGTTTATTATGTCTTCTGCAGCTAACTTGTTTCTCTTGGATTGACCTTATATTGAGTAAACATCCCCAGTACTAATGATTTTACCAGCATATTTTTTCTTAGAAATATGCTTAGTACCTGGAAGATGTGAAATGCTATATGAAGGAAAGGAAGTGAAAGCTCAGTAAAAATAAGTCTAAGGATCAAGGCCTAAATCCAAATGTTACTCTCAACTAAGTAGAACATTTGAATAAATGGGATTCATCTAAATCAGTGGTTCTCAACCTAGGGTACCCAGATGTTCTGGCCTTCGGCTCTCAGAAATCCTAACAGCTGGTAAACTGGCTGGAATTTCTGGGAGTTGTAGGCCAAAACACCTGGGGACCCACAGGTTAAGAACCACTGATCTAAAGGTTGACCTATCAGCTTCTCATTGATTCAGTGGGTCTTCTCTAGTTCAGAATAACAATTAGATTTAGGTCCAACGTATGGAACAGAATGTTACAATGTTTATTCCTATCTCTGTTATCATTATATTCAACTTTAGTCTTGTATTTCTAGCTTCAATTTCAGGCCTACTGAGACTGCCTGATCAAAAATGATTGATAAAAGTGGCTTGGTTTCATTTTGATTTCAAATTTTGTCTTCTAAAATTCTTTCATGCTATTCTCAGATTATATATTCGGACAGAGCTTTCCAAGTATTTCATTTTGATGACACACTATTTTTGTACATTCGTCATTTTGTGACACAGTAATTCAGTTTTACTAGAAAAAGTTAAACCAATCCCTCATAAGCAATATGGACACATCCATAAATTGTAATTACAAAATTATTGGGCACAACGTATCTCATTAAAATATTTCTGATATATATGATTTATTGCTTATTTCACACATACTCAGAGGTTTCTCATTACATTTGTGTGACACACTGCAGCTGACACACTAGCATGTCACAGCACAGTGCATTAGGATATTGTCAATAGAGCCACTAAAATTTGCATTACATTTCAGATTGTGAAGAATATGTTTGATTTGATCCTTAAAGGCACATAGCAACAATCTCGTCATAAGACAGAGGTCTCAGCAATTCTTAATAAATATTGAAAAAGAGCAAATTCCAAAACCAAATTTAATTTACTAATTGAGACCAAAAACATTCCTCAAAATCATGTTGCATGTTTGCCATGAATGCACACATATTTTGTGTCTCTGTTAAGAACTATGGAAAGAAAAATACTTAAGTACCTCGTATGTTGTTGTTCCCATTTAATTTTGTCCTGTAAAGCACTGTGCATGGTGCTTTACAGGACAAAACAGTCCCCTGCCCTTACAATATTAAGAGGAAAGGGAGATTGCAGTAAAGAAGGGATTCAGTCCATCAAAAACTCTCTTCTTTTCTCCCTCCAAGGCCATGACAGTGGCAAGTGGGTTATAGGGAGGGTTCATTCTGGGCCTAGGCATGAAGGAGCTTTGCCTGTCTCCTCTTCATCTCAGGTTAGTAGGCTGCATGAAAAGGAAAGGGTTTATTATTGACAGAAATACTTTATTTCTGTTATGTTTTTGTACTTGTAAGCCAAGGTAATTTCCTCACAACAATTAATAACATCTAGTTGACCTCACTGCCTCCACACATATGGTGGTATGCATTATGTATTTCTTTCTTTCTTTCTATCCTGCTTTTCCCCCGAGTCGGGTCTCATCACCCTAAATACATTCATGATATCTAGGAATAAGGATGTGTGTATATACACACAGCTACACAAACACATAGACATGAAACCTGTTATAGTAAACAAAACTGCTTAATTTTAACGTAAGCTTCCCCACTATTAAAAACATTGTCCAAGTGGTAATGAGCAAATAATAAGTAGTCTAATAAAGATTTGCCATTTTTATTCTTATTTCAGGTAATAATTGCTTTGTCAGAGAAAAACAGATCTCATATTCCATACAGGAACTCTATGATGACCTCGGTGCTAAGAGACAGCCTAGGAGGGAACTGCATGACCACAATGATTGCCACACTTTCAATAGAAAAAAGGAACATAGATGTATGTTGTCTGATTTTAATGATCATCTTTACTATCTAAGATTTAGCATTTCCAATTTATCTAATGAATTTTACTCTATATGCTTTCCTTTATATACTTTTCTTATAAAATTTCATTCATGAATTCCAAGTATCCTATCTTCGGTACAGCTGTACTATACATTAAGAGGTGGACTATACACACACACACACACATTTACAAACACTTCTGTTCAAGTACATATCCAATTTATTTTACATCATTATTGAATATAATTGGTGGCTTACCTATCATGTGATTTGAATTACACCATAAATAATTGACAATAATTATGGAAACTGCTAATCTCAACATTTGTGTGACACCAGTTTGCTTGCCCTAGAAAAGGAAAACACTAGATGCAATAAAAACATCAGCTCTGTTTTCTAATTCTGTGGAAGACCATCAGTGTGTGGTAGGCTACATTTCAGATGAAGTAACTGGCCAAATCACCTCTGAGTATGCTTTGCCTAAGAACATGGAATCACTACAAGTCAACAGGTGACTTGAAGACACATAGAATATTTAATTCCTTAAATGCATTGCATATTATTTTTTCATGCTCTAACTGATAGATATCAATGTGGAAATGAGCATGTAATGATGTTGAGAACTAAATATTGTGGAAAACATAAAGGAACGGACTGTGAGGCTACTTTTTTAAGCAAACATTTTTCTGTCATATCAGATAGTTCCACCATCAGTTTAAGTCTAAAGCAGTGGTTCTCAGCCTGTGGGTCCCCAGGTGTTTGGGCATACAACTCCCAGAAATCCCTGCCAGTTTACCAACTGTTAGGATTTCTGGGAGTTGAAAGCCAAAGCATCTGGGGACCCACAGGTTGAGAACCACTGGTCTAAAGGATATAATACAAAACTGAAGTGTTATTTTGCCAGTGTACAATTAATCTGGCATCAATATTGATGAAACTGTAGCAGTACACTTTACTTGAAGCAAAAATAGCTAACCTGAGGCTACCACACATTGGAGATATTAGATGTGGGAAACGGTCAGCAAAACAGAAGGCAATCACAAAAGAGAAAGACCACATAACACATGGATTGATTCAGTCCAAGAAGCCACAGCTCTGAGTTTGCAAGATCTGGACAGAGCAGATGATGACTGGGGATATTGGAGATCTCTCATTCATAAGATTTCTAAAAGGTAGAGCCATTGAATGGTAAACAATAACAAGTTTTTGCTATCTGTTTTAAAGGCTGTTGCTTTAATTCATTTAGAATACAACACTTATTGATACAGTAGGTTCTAATTACCTGCTAAGGTTTGACTTCAGGAATCCCTGTGGATACCAAAATCCATGGATGTTCAAGTCCTATTATATACAATGGTGTAATACAGTCATTCTCAACCTGTGGGACCCCGTTTTGGCCTACAATTCCCAGAAATCCCAGCCAGTTTAGCAGCTGTTAAGGTTTCTGGGAGTTGAAGGCCAAAACATCTGGGGACCCACAGGTTGAGAACCACTGGTGTAATAAATAGAGTTCCTTGTATAAAATGGCAAAATCAAAATCTGCCATTTGGAATCTCTCTCTCTATATATATATATCTATATTCATATTCTCAACTTGGTGATGGTTGAATCTCTGGATACAGAAGGCTGATTGTGCATAATACTAATTTATGTCTGCTTAGGAATCTATATCGACTTGTAGATTTGCTCAGCGAGTTGCCCTTATTAAGAATGAAGCTGTTCTAAATGAAGAAATTGATCCAAGACTGGTAAGGATCTGTTGTGATTATTTATAGTAAAAATAAGTAATATATTAATGCTGAAAAAGGACTACTTAACTGTAGGACTATCGCTCCCATCAGTCCCACCCAGAACAGCAAGTGGTAACTTGCAGTTCAACATCCAGAGGGACCCATTTCTCATCTATTGGCAGATGAATCTAGTAAGTTGTAAGTTACAACTGATTTATTTTAGTACCTATGTTTATTCATATGCAGACATATCTATAACTGTCATTTGTCCTATCTTCATTCACTCAAACTCTGCCAGGAATAACTATTATTCAGATATTCTTATCACTCTCATATATTAAAAATAAAATGGAAAAGTTGAGTAAAATGGTTCTTCCATTCTATTCACAATCCACTTTTCCTGTGATGGGTGCAGGTTGTCTTGGATTCTGCTAAGCCCACTCTGGGCCTTAAAAAGTAAGCACTAATACCCGTATTTACTTGAATATAATGCACCATCGTATCTAATGCACAACTCAATTTTCAAAATCCTGAAACAAAACAGAGAGAATATTTCCTGTTGAATGCAATGTACAGTGCCAAAAAGTGCATTCTTCGTAATTTTGACCAAAATAAGGTGTGCATTACAATTGCTGCCTGCTAAGAATTCCTTCTGTAAAAACAAAAGTGTTAGATCACCAAACTTATAGCAGTGGAGAGGAAACCTTGGGATGCATCTATGCTGCAGAATGAATTCCCTTTGATTACCTTGGTACAATGCTATGGAATCATAGTTATACAAGGTATTGAGCCTTCTTTGCCAAAGAATTCTGATGCTTCAACAAACTGCAAATCCCAATATTGTATAGCATTGAGCCATGGCCATTACATTAGAGATTACATTCCTCAAATAGGAGCTCCAGATGCTACTGAACCAGCTTCCTCTTTTACTTATTAAGTGACTCTAATGTGCACCCTAATTTTGGCAAGGTAATTTAGTCAAAAAAAGGTGAGCATTAGATTCAAGTAAATACGGTACTTTGAATTGAATCAAGAAACCAGTGCAGCTCTTAGGGACTGTTGATACATGTTCCCATAAATTAACTCTGGTTATCAGTTTATTAGAATTGGAAAAAAACCAAATATCCTTCAAAGGGAGTCCCATCTATAATAAAATTGTATTAGTCGAGTCTGGAAGTTATTAGAACATGTTAAATGGTCAAAAGGCTATTTTATGTGTATTTATTATATTTCAATCTGTTTTTCTAACATTAATCCACACTGTATAATTTGATTTTTTAATATATATATATATATTGCCTCCTTTTTAAAACTATGACCAAGGTGTGGGACTGTTAGGCACTTTGAGTCACCACAAGAAGAAAGATGGGGAATAAATAAAGTAAACAACAACAACAACAACAATTTTCTAAGAAGAGGAAGAATATTTGTCCCAACAAATATCTGGCCCCACCCACTGTGCTGGACATACATTGGACTTGGTTTTCTGCCAGGGATGGGAGCAAGGTGGCGGTGTTGAGGAGTTGACCATCTCTCTGTTGCCATGGACCGACCACTTCCTGGTCAGATTTAGGCTCACTGCGCCCCCCAACCTCTGCAGAGGTGGAGGACCCATTAAGTTGGTCCGCCCCAGGAGGCTTATGGATCCGGATGGATTCCTGACGGCTCTTGGGGAATTTCCCGCCACCTCGTTAGGCGAGCCTGTCGATGCCCTGGTCGCTCTCTGGAATGGGGAGATGTCCAGGGCAATTGACACGATCGCTCCGGAATGTCCCCTCTCAAGTAGCCGAGCTAAACCAGCTCCTTGGTTCACTGAGGAGTTGGCAGTGATGAAGCGAAGGAAGAGGGAACTAGAGAGTTTGTGGCGTTCAGATCCGAGCGAGCCACATCGAACACGGTTTGTGTCCTTTTTAAGGGCATATGCCGCGGCAATAAAAGCCGCAAAGAAAACCTTCTTTGCGGCCACTATTGCGTCTGCAAAGAACCGTCTGGCGGAGCTGTTCCGGATTGTCAGAGGCCTTTTAACTCCCGCCACTCTAGGTGGGAACCCTGACAATTCGGCCTCTCGCTGCGAAGCTTTTTCTCGGTTCTTCGCAGACAAAGTCGCTTTGATCCGTTCCGGTCGGGACACCATATTAAATGCAGTCTCTGAGGATGTAACACGAGTACCTGCTTGTCCTATTTTGATGGATTCATTTCAATTGGTGAAGCCCAAGGATGTGGACAAGATACTTGGAGGAATGAGGCCTACTACGTCCATCCTAGACCCCTGCCCATCCTGGCTTCTAAAAGAGGCCAGAGGGGGATTGGCTGAGTGGGTTAAGGTGGTGGTTAACGCCTCCCTTCGGGAAGGCGAGATTCCAGCAAGCTTAAAACAAGCTATAATAAAACCGCTGTTGAAAAAACCATCACTGGACCCCACTAAATTTGACAACTTTCGGCCAGTTTCCAATCTCCCCTTTTTGGGCAAAGTCCTGGAATGCGTGGTGGCCTCACAACTCCAGGTATTCTTGGAGACACGGATTATCTGGATTCGGCACAGTCTGGTTTCAGACCGGGACATGGAACTGAGACAGTCTTGGTCGCCTTAGTGGATGATCTGCGCCGGGAGCTGGACAGGGGGAGTGTGTCCCTGTTGGTGCTGCTGGACCTCTCAGCGGCCTTCGATACCGTCGACCACGGTATCCTTCTGGGGCCTTGCGGGGATGGGTCTTGGGGGCACTATTTTGCAGTGGCTCTGGTCCTTCCTGGAGGGTCGGTCCCAGGAGGTGTTATTGGGTGACACCTGTTTGACTCCACAATCTTTGTCTTGTGGAGTTCCACAGGGTTCAGTACTGTCCCCAATGTTAACATCTACATGAAGCTGCTGGGAGAGATCATCCGGAGTTTCGGGGTGCGGTGTCATCTGTACGCAGATGATGTCCAACTCTGTCACTCCTTTCCACCTGCTACTAAGGAGGCTGTCGAGGTCCTGAACCGGTGCCTGGCCGCTGTAACGGTCTGGATGAGGGCAAACAAATTGAAACTGAATCCAGACAAGACAGAGGTACTCCTGGTCAGTCGCAAGGCCGAACAGGGTATAGGGTTACAGCCTGTGCTGGATGGGGTCGCACTCCCCTTGAAGGCGCAGGTTCGCAGCTTGGGTGTGACCCTGGATTCATCGTTGAGCCTGGATCCCCAGGTTTCAGCGGTGACCAGGGGAGCATTTGCACAGCTTAGGCTCGTGCGCCAGCTGCGCCCGTACCTCGGGAAGTCTGACTTGGCCACGGTAGTCCACGCTCTGGTTACATCCCGCTTAGACTACTGCAACGCTCTCTACGTGGGGTTGCCCTTGAAGACGGCCCGGAAGCTTCAACTGGTCCAGCGTGCGGCAGCCATGTTACTAACAGGAGCGGGACGCAGGGAGCATACAACGCCCTTGTTGTACCAGCTCCACTGGCTGCCGATTTGCTACCGGGCTCAATTCAAGGTGCTGGCATTGGCCTATAAAGCCCTAAACGGTTCCGGCCCAAGATACCTATCTGACCGCATCTCGGCCTATGAGCCCACGAGGAGACTTTGAGATCGGCCGGGGAGGCCCTGCTCTCGATCCCACCTGCCTCACAGGCACGCCTGGCGGGGACGAGAGACAGGGCCTTCTCGGTGGTGGCTCCTCGGCTGTGGAACACCCTTCCCGTAGACATCAGACTGGCGCCCTCCCTTATGACATTCCGCAAGAAACTAAAGACGTGGCTGTTCGAGAAGGCGTTCGAACAAGAAGTGCAATAATTGGCAATGACGATAGGAATGGAACAATGGAAAATGATATTGGATTGTGGCTTAACGATGAGACGACGCAAATGACTTTTTTGTATTTGTATTATTGATATTGTGGTTGTTGATGTTGATGATGATGTTTTGATATTGCTAGTTGTTGTTAGACTATGTCTTGTAATTGCACCTTATTCTCTATATGTTGTACACCGCTGTGCGTCGCCCCTGGGCTGAGAACAGCGGTCTATAAGCACAGTAAATAAATAAATAAATAAATAAATCCCACAGACATCCTGAAATCTCCCATAGTCTACTATAGTCCCATATTTTTTTCCCTGAGTCATAGCTTTTTTGGTTCTTGTAATAATAAGCGTTTAAAAATAAATTATAAAAAATCAAAGTATTGTTTTTTTTTACTAAGAGGAAGGTTAGATTTTCCTAATGTATGGGTAGTATCTAGTTTATAGGATGAAAGAACTTGAATCACTTAAATACCTGGGTACAAGGCTGCATGGAACAGTAAACAAGACCTACTGTACAAATGCACCAAGCCTCAAGAGCAGTGTTTCTCAAACTCTGCTCCTCCAGATGTTTTGGACTTCAGCTTCTACAATTCCTAAAAGCTGGTAAGCTATCTAGGATTTCTGGAAGCTAAAGTCCAAAACACTTCGATGAGCAGAGTTGACAAACATTGTTCAAGAGGATCAAAACCTGGAAATTATATCACCTCATTTTTAAGGTGATTATAGAAAATATAATTTGCATATTGAGGCTATGTACCCCAAAACTCCTAATGATCTCTCCCCGAGGTTTCATGTATATATTATACGGCATGGGGGATTAATCAGAACCCACATGGTCTCTACAGGCCAATGGCAAAGGAGTTGAACAGGAGTTCCTAAGCATCAAAGTCTGATTTTGCCCCTCTAGGACAGAACAGAGCTAAGATAAAACAATTCCTAGGGTCCCATCCCAGTGAGGCAGTCCAGAAGGACGTCATGATGAGAGGTATCATGAGAAGTCTCGCAGACATACTACTTCTGTCCCGTAATGGAGATAGTGTGGGAGTGTATAGTCTACTTTGCATCCATTTGTTGTAAGAGAAAGAAAATATATCAATGTTGCCAAAATATAAAATATTAGCAGGGGTAGAAGACCAGAAAGGAACTGGAAAATACTTTGAGATCATATTATTGCTATCAATCAATAATGAATACATGTTTATTTGTTATAGATGATTGTGCGACTTAAGAAGGAAATCCAAGAACTTAAAAATGAATTGTCTTTGGTGACTGGGGAACAAAGAGCAGAAGAACTTACGGAGGAAGAACTACTACAGTAATGTTTATTTTCTTTGCCTTCTTTCACTTTGGAATGTATCCCATTTGCATAATCAGTTCAATTTTTAGTGAAATGACTTAAATTAATTTTCATCCCCTATCCTCCTCATCAAGCCCCCCCTCCCAATTCTTATGTATGTGTGCGTATCCTGTAGCCTGTGCTTGATGGGGTTACACTCCATCTGAAGGCACAGGTTCACAGCTTGGGAGTGCAATTTTCCTTCTTCTTGGCAGGGGGTTAGACTGGATGAGGTCTCTTCCAACTCTATGATTTTATGATTCTATGATTCTATGATCCTGGATACATTGCTGAGCCTGGAACCCCAGGTCTCAACAGTGGACAGGGGATCTTTTGCACAACTAAAACTTGTGCGTCTGTTGTGCCCGTACCTTGGGATGTTAGACTTGGCCTCAGTATTCCACACTCTAGTTACATCCCGAATAGACTACTGCAATGCACTCTGCATGGGATGCCTTTGAAGACTGTTTGGAAGCTCCGAGTGGTCCAATGGGTGGCAGCCAGACTGCTCACTGGAGCGGGGTACAGGGAGCACACAACCTCCCTGTCGTGCCAGCTCCACTGGCTGACAGTCTCCTACACAATTCAAAGTGCTAGCTTTAGCCCATAAAGCCCTAAATGGTTCCGGCCAAGCTTACCTGTCTGAACATATGAACCTCTATGAACCATCTCAGAGACTAAGATCATCCAGGGAGGCTCTGCTCTCAGTCCCATTTCCTTCGCAGGAGCGACTGATGAGGACGAGAGACAGGGCCTCTCAGTGGTGGCCCCTCGTCTATGGAACAACCTTCCTAATGACATTAGATCAGCATCCTCCCTCTTGGCCTTCAGAAAAAAAGCAAAAACATGGCTGTAGAACCAAGCATTTGGGCAGTAAGCAGGACATGAAACGAACACTGAATATGCACAATTGTTATTTGATACTGGAACGACCTGGACCATGCTTCTGGATCACAGGATTTTAATGTTTATATTTATTTTTTAATCCCGTGTTTTAATGTAGTTGTGTTTTATGATTAAATTGATAGTTTTATGTGATGGTTATTTTTCTGCTAGGTTTATTGTTTGAATTTTGCCGTTAATGTGTTGGAAACTGCTTTGAGTCTCCCCATGTGTGAGAAAAGCGGTATATAAATGAAGTAAATAATAAATAAATAGGTATCCTGCCTTGAAGCATTTCCCAGTTTTCCATTCACTAGTTCAGGATCGAAATGATGGCAAAGGTCAAGTTAAACTTATGATGTTCATTTAGAATAATAGTAAGGGCAGTAAAGATTGCCACACTTGTACCTAGGTGCTGAAAAGACATTAAAATAATCTCAAGTATTAAATCCTGACAAAAACTCTAGAAGTCATATTTAGAAGCATATCTGATATTTCAAGAAATCTCTGAGATTTAATGTTTTAGAATTAACACTAAGTATTTGCAGAATATATATATTTTAAAAAAATACCTTGATATCAGTGACCATCATGAATTCATGTTACCTCTTTTGAGTGGCTCTCATTTTGCAGTCTTTTCTATTGTAATAGGGGACACTCTACATTTATAAAGTTTGCATTCTCTATTGGGATGATTCAAGTAAAAGAATATACCATATAACTCTGAATCCTCTGTTAATCCCAATTGCTCTACTAGACTCAATGAATCAGTAGCAATTATAAATCAATAATTTCACAAGTTCCTTTGCTTAAATGGGCCTGTTAGTTTGTATTAGCAGTAAGACATACGCTGTGTAAAGGTGATAATAATAATAATAATAATAATAATAATAATAATAATAATAAACCTTTATTTATACCCCACTAACATCTCCCGAAGGACTCGGTGCGGCTTACAAGAGGCCGAGGCCCAACACATCAATAAAACAACAGCATAACAATACAACAATAAATAAACTAAAAAAAACAAGCAATAAACATTAAAACAATAGCAATAACATTAGACAATGACACCACGACACATTTAAAAACTAAGGCTGGGCCAAATGTAATGATTAAAATTTTTAAAAATGCTGGACATGACAGGTGAAATGAATAGGTTTTTGGAGATAGGTGCGGTGTGCAGACAATCTTAAATCTCTAGTAAAGTGCATTTGGGACATGATGCTTGGAGTTTCCTATTCTGGGAAGGCACACTGGAACAACCACATCTTCAAGCTCTTCTTAAAGACTGCCAATGTTGGGGCTTGTCTGATATCCTTGGGAAGAGAATTCCAGAGTCGGGGGGCCACCACGGAGAAGGCCCTGTCTCTCGACCCCACCAATCTCGCTTGCGACGCAGGTGGGATCGTGAGCAGGGCCTCTCCAGATGATCGGAGAGATCGTGTGGGTTCATATACAGAGATGCAGTCGCGCAGGTAGGCAGGTCCCAAACCGTTTAGAGCTTTGTAGGTAAGCACCTGCACCTTGAATTGGGACTGGAAAATGAACGGCAGCCAATGGAGCTCCTTGAACAGGAGGGTTGACCTCTCCCTGTAAGGAGCACCAGTTAACAACCTGGCCGCCGCCCGTTGGATCAGTTGATTATTAGTTTTATCTGCAAACATTCAAAGGAAAACTGACCTAGCAGTTTATGAGCAACTAGTAGTGGCGGTGAAGGTAGTAGAAGCCATACTAAACTGTTTCACATTTAAAATGCATCTGACGTGTTCGTTAATTGTTTGGTATATATATATATACGTTTTATTGATTGGCCTATTGGCCGTATCAAAACATTTAACACATAACACATTTAACACATAACACATTTAACACATAGTCATACAACATACAACGCTCGGTAAAAGAGAGGTTAAAATAAAAGAGGTTAAAATAAACAAACTGTTGGCAGATCCCATTCAGGTCAAATATCTGTGTCACCTCCACAGTTTACCCCAATTGATTCTAAATGTGCAATTCTCAGCTGTGTTGCTTTGAATAGAAAAAGGGCTGTTTTGTGTGTTATTTTAGGATTCTGGCCGGCCAACAAAAATGGAGTTTTAATATGTGGATCTCAGTGTGTTTTGTGAATAATGTATGGTCCAAGGCAATGGCCTCTCTCTTTCTTATACAGCTCACAGTTGAACAGAACATGTGTGATATCCTCCACCTCTGATGCTCCGCAAATACAAACTCGATCGTTGTATGGGACCTGATTAAACCTTCCGTGCTTGACCATTGAATCCAGCTGCTCAAAACGAGCTCTGGTAAATACCCTCCTGAGGTGTTTTGGCATATCTGTTTTTAGATATCGAGCTGTTTGGAAGGTGTGTTTAAAGCGGCTTAACCATTTCAATGAGCCAGCTTTACTGAGAGTAGCAATGTCTTTTTGGCCTTCTATATCCAATACTCGTTGAGCAACTATTTTTGGGTCTAGCTCTTCTAAGAGGTTCGGATACCGAGTCGGGAGTCCACAGCTCCTAATATATTTTGTCAGGAGAACTAGCCAAGAGGACTGATGTTGATTTTCTTTCTGCTCCAACAGGCACAATTTTGGAAGTCTATCATTTGCCATGGCAATCAGTTTTGCCCAGTAGTTGTAGGCCCTGATTTTAGATAAGCCATCCACTGTATATACTCCCAGTTCCGCTCTTACTGCGGCAGCTGGGGTCGTCCTGTCCACTCCTAGAAAACTTCGCAGGTGCTGTGATTGTGCTTGCTCTAATAATGGTACCTGATTTAGACCCCAAACTTCAGCTCCGTATAAGAGCATGGGAGTTACTTTTGCTTTATATACTTTAAGAAGTGGGTCTAAGGATCCTGGATGGTTGTGATTTATCAATTTAAGTAGTTGATTTGCACGTACTCTTGCCCTGACTGAGCTTTTTTGGTGGTGTGGTAGCCAAGAGCCGGTCTCAGAAAAAACAATTCCCAGATATGTGAAAGTGCAAACTTGCTCTATTGGTTCACCGTCCAGGAACCATCTTTGTCTGTTATGTCATTTGCCAAATACCATTATTTTTGACTTTGATTTATTAATAGTTAGAGCGTTGTTATGACAATAGGAATTAAATCTTCTCAGCAGTCTACGTAACCTGACTTGCGAATATGATAGTAAAATCATATCGTCGGCATATAGAAGGATGTTAAAATGTGTGTTGCACAGCTTAGGCATATATGTCTCTGGGCGCTTCAACTGTTCGGGGAGATCATTTCGGGGAGTTTGGTATATAATATTGTAAATATAAGGACACTTGAAAATTTATTTTTTACATATGTGTGAAATTAAGGATGAAATTTGGTTTGCTTTAGCAGAGTGTTTCTTCCCCTTTCCCCTTAGCACAATTCTAAAGCATTGTCTCACAGCACACAGTACTGCCACCTGTTCAGGTGAAGTAGTTTTGTGCTTGTTTTCTTATGGAATGGAGATATGCTGAGGCCCCTTCTACATTGCCATATAAAATCCAGATGATCTGCTTTGAACTGGATTATATGGCAGTGTAGACTCATATAATCCAGTGGAAAGCAGACAGTGTGGATTATCTGCTTTGATATTCTGGATTATATGGCAGTGTAGAAGGCCCAGAGAATTGCCATGTTTAATCCTTTGAATTCCTTGTTGTAGGTCTGAATTATTTTTTGTTCTGTTTGATTTATGGTATATGAGGTGGACATCCAGGTATTGGGAGCTACATTGCCCCCCCCCCCCAATAGAGCACTTTCGGCTGTGCCATGAAGGTCAACCATCATAGTTTATTTAAGACATTTTTAAATAATTCACAAACATGATAACCCTTAGAGGGTGTGAGAGCAATTATGCTGAGGGAGGGGTGGATGCTGGGACGCATTGGTGCTTACTTAATTAAGGAAAGCAAACATCAGATTCTAGTTTATCTCTGAGTTAAAGAAAGCCTTCTAATTAGACTAAATGGGGGTGGAGGGGCATTGAAACATAACAGAATTGTCCCCAAGCCCCCGAGGGACTGTGTGAGGATGGTTTTGATTTTTTTAATGAAAAAAGGATCCAAATTTAGGTGGAATGGGTGGCAAATTCAGCA